TGTCAATATTCAACATTAAATTTCTTTATTACCGGGTAAGTTAAAAATATAATCCTATATACCAAAAAATTGTTCATTTATTCTAGTTTCTGAATCTGAAGTCATATCTGAAATCCAAATCCGCGTTGAAGAGATATATGCAAAAAACCGACACCAGTTTCGCTTGTCCATTGGTGTATATATATATATTACTGAATAACATATCTTTATCTTGCTTTATTATCAGGATCTCATTTGCCTAATTAGTTATGGAATTAACAACATTCTACTGTATTTCTAATAAATTAATTATGTTAAATAATTTCTTATTATTTAATTAAATAAATATATCTTATATTTATAAAGTACTTCAAAACTTTTTAACAAACTTTTAATAAAAAATAATTTTTCCCCGCTTGGGGCGCGATCTGATGTCCTTTCAGGTGGTCTCTGGATCTCTCCTATTGATTAACCTTAACTTAGCTATTGTTAGTGCGACACTCTAACCGCTACACCACTCTACTCCCCACCACCACCCAAAGCTAAAATATGCTTTTAAATTATAAAAATAATTAAATAAGTAATTAAATATATGTTTTTAATAAATAATTACAGTTTCTAAGAATTTATATTACTGTATAGAATTTATTTATATTGTTTATTAAATATAAACTGAAAACAATAATACTATGCCTAAGAAGTGTTTATAATTTTAAATAAACATTTTAGACTAAAATGGAATTTTGTTTTGATTAACAATTTGCCCGGGGGAGAATAAATTTGTCGGTCTATAGGGGTTTGTGTTGACTTTTTTAAAGTGATATAATATTTATGATTCATTAAAATGTGATAAGGGGTCATTCAATAAGTACGTAAGTAGAAATTTGTCTAAAAACTGACTTCACCTTCCCTGCTTAATTCCCTCGTATGTATGACATTAACAAGTTTATGTACGCATGTTTAGGATGACCCCTCCCCACCCCAGTGCGTACGTACTTACTGAATGATCCCTAAACCACTATTCTAGATAAATTGACATTATCTTAAACTTTAAGACTTAAAGTGTTTTTAATATTATAAAGAACTCTAATTGAGGTTCAAAACTCAGTAAATATGTTGATAATTAATTTATTAAAAATTGTGTTTTATGTACACATTTAAACATTTAAATAAAATATATTAAATTTTATAAATATAACTCAAATAAAGTTAATTAGGATTACCAAGGTTAACAAATACACTATGAGTTGTGAGAAATTAACTAAAATATGCGAAGTGTGTGGCGTTAAAGGGATTGGTATTTAATTATTTTCATATAATTTTAGTAACAATCAATTAGATTAACTAACTACAGGTATTTTTATCTAGGAAAAAACTTTTCTGTCATTACGTGTGAGTCGTGTAAATCCTTTTTTAGACGGTATGCCCTCAGAAATAAAGTAAACATATAATTAATTTTAAATATGATTTGAATTTTATTTTAAATTTTTAATAATAAACAAAATAATTTAAATGAATAGCCATTAATCTGTGCATTCGGTGGTAAATGTGTTATAAATTCAGTGACCAGAAAAATATGCCAAAAGTGTAGACTCGCTAAATGTTTTGCAGTCGGAATGAAAAAAGTAATGTTTATAATCATATGTATAAATGTTTTTTATTTTTTTCATTTAATAAATGTTTAATTATAGGAATTAATAAGAGATTCCAATGATAATGAACAAAATAAGCAATTGATCAAGCTGAATAAATTAAACATACAACAAAACAATGAATGTTGCAAATCATCCACAAGTAGTTCGCCCAACAGTTTAACATCAGATGAAAACACAGTAAAAGACATTTTCGATGAGTTGTTAGAAAATACACTTAATATTAGTGATGAAGAACTGAATGAACACATGAAAGAAATTGAAAATTATGTCACAAATAATGAACTGAATGTTAACATTGAAATGAAAAGTGATAACAAACGGCAAGAATTAGCGATAATACCGATGTTTAAACAAATGACAGATTATGAGGGTTTCAAACAACTGGAAGTCATCCGTATATCCGAGTTAACCAGAGCTACGGTTAGGTTTAACTATACACTGGGCACTAATTTATTAAAAGTTAGAAATATAGAAGAATTTGCGAAATACCAAAACAATGTGGGATTATTCATGGATATCATCGATTTTACTCAATGTTTGAATGGATTTAATAACATTTGTTTCGACGATCGGTTGGCACTCGTGAAATACGGGGGCATAGAGTTGGCGTCCATTCGTTCACTTAATTATTACGATCCCAAACACGAGAGCTTTTTACTTCCAATTGTTTGTAGTATTTAATGTTAAAATATATAACATTTTTTAATTAGTTCAATAATTTAACGCTATATTACAGGATGAAAACTATTCAATAGTGACTCAATTGAAAATATTTCAACTTCAAGACCATTGTTATAATGTTATAGTAGAGTCTACAAACAGACTCATTAATACGTGGAATTACAACGACCCTATTGCTATAGATTTGGTTTGTATTATAGTATAAGAATAGTATCATATATAAAAATCTTATTATGTTTGGGTTTTAATTAACTTTAATTATATTATAGTTGACGGCAATTATACTATTCAATCCAAATCGACCGCATCTAACGCATAGACACAACGTTAGGTAAATAACTAATATTTTGAAGAAAATGTTATTTATAATCATTGATTATTAATCAATATAATATTTAATTATGTATTTCCTGGTGCTAGACTCGAGCAACAATTATACATATATTTGTTGCAAAGGTATTTACTATTAAAATACGGATCGGAATGTGAGTCAAAGTTACAGAAACTCATGAATTCATTACAAGAGTTGCAAGTGTTGTGTGAATTAGAGGTGAAGGTTGTCGTACAGAAATATAAACCATTTATGCATTATTTTGGACCACTTGTAAACGAAATCTACATGTTTACCTAATACTGGTATATTAAATATAACTCGTTCAATTACCTGTGATCATGATATAATTTTTAAAATAAAATATTGCTTTTACACTTTGTTATTAATAATTAGTGAATATTTAAAGTATATATTTATAATCTTATTATATCAGGAATTAGGTTCATAAAATATTTTACAAATAAATAATAGTAATTTAATTATCATGTTATACTACTACTCATATTTTTATGATTATGGTAATTATTAAGAGAATAAATATAAATATAACAATTTTATACTTATTAGAAACTTGAAATTTGTTGTTAATTTAATAAATAAAATATAATAATATTAGGTCGTACGGAAAGGTTGTTTCTGGCTATAATTTAAATTTCTCCGGAATGGCTTAATATTTTCAAAAGCGGTTTGTTTTACTGAATAGCCTAATAATCCGAGAATTTTTTGCACAAAAAATAAATTTTCAATATTATCGCTTTCTATGTAATTTCGGGACCATCTCCGGGAACCACATTGGCCATCAATAAAATTTACTTATTATAATCATATTTACAGTATATTTAAAAATTTATTTTTTTCTATAAGATATATTTTATAACAATAACTATATCTTATACAGTATCATTATATATTTTAAATATAATATAATAAATATTTTGTGTATAAATTAACTTATTATATTTTAAAACAATGAATAATTATTGATTGCCTGTAATTGGTTTCAAAATTTTAAAATATTAATAATTGCCTTGTTTGATTTTAAATAAAAAATATATACAAATATACAATTATATTAAAATTAATTTTTTGCATTTAATTTATTAATGTTTTTATTTAGACCTTAAAATAATTAATAAACAAATATTAAATGTAATTACAAAGGGAGTTGTTAAAATTCAGATATGAAATTAATACACTGGTAATTCGTAATCCAAACATAATCAAAATGTAAATAATTTGTTTTATTATTTTCTTTTAATTAATACCTTGCTGCATTCATTTTCCAAGTTATTTGTGGTGGACACAATCGGTTCTGGATAAAAATAATTAATGATCCTAATTTTATAACTTGCAACGTGAAACTCAATGAACACAAATACAAAGGCGCAAACGTAAATCACCATGATAGGAATAATATCAGCCAATCCGCTGGGACTCATTGGCTCAGGTAAACAACGATTCGTATCAATGGTAAAATTCTGGGTCCTTTTCAAAGCAAATGTTTCGACAAACTCATCCATGATAGGTTTAAGAATGGGACCACCTTGGGTGTCAAAAACAAGTTTGACCTCGCCCTCAGCTGTAAAAGTTGCATTACCATGCTTCTTTATAACAGTTTCTATCCAATATAATGTATAATCAAAACACATTATTGTAATGCTAAATAAAATATGAGTGATCAACGTAATAATCTGCAAAATTAAGTGACTCTTATCTTGTTTCTTTTTAGTCTTCACAAATTTAGATAGATCATTTGACTTGCCCTTCGATTTAAATTTTAAGTATTTACGAAGGTACAATGCCGACGAAATGGGGATGGCAAATATTGGTAACATAAATATGATGCGGATTATAAACACCACAAATAATAAGCCTGCGTAACTTTCTTCAAACTCATCGCGAATACGTTGTTTGATCTCGGTGGAATTAATGGATAAATTTTGTTTACCATTATAAGATTTGTCTACGAACAATTTGAAATTAAATAGCTCGGCAAATTTTGCAAATGTACCAACTCCAAATTGTAATGTATTAACCAGAATTAATTTAGTTGCATCCAACACCTTGCATATATTTAAATTTTTGAGAGGCTCACAAACTGAACTGCCAACACTGATAACAGTACATATATCATTCAAATCGCCACTAGCTCGCTTTTTTCTACCAAAAATATCTTTGAACTTATTTCCCACAAAAGGTTGAGCTATTTTGTTACCAACATTTTTAAATGGATCAGCCACTTTATTTCCAATAGTAGTAAACGAGGGTACTTTACTTAGACATTCGCTGTAAGAATTTTTAGCACCTTGGCCACATTGTTGATAAGCCTGGTCTACACCTTGGTAACATTTTGCTGCGGCAGCTTCTACCTCATTTTTAGCTTCATTAAATTTTACCTCGGCAGTTTTTATACCATCCCTTATCGGATTCAATACTTGTTGTATACCATTGGATATTCTTTCCTATGTCTTAATATTGTTGATAATAGCCTGGGTCATATCATTGTATGCTATTTTATAGGCGTCGATCGAAGCCTGGCCATTTTCTTCAGCTAAATCCGCAGTACATGATATTGTGACCGACACTTCGTTAATGTTATGCATTATGCTGACGAGTGGGCCACCAATGAGTAGCGCCGTTATGACCGAGAGTAATATGATTCGACCTTGTTCACTTGTCATCATTGTTGCCGATAGCGCTGTCACACATCTGAATGATAAGCTGTAGACATATGCAATTGAAACTACCATGGCGATGATTAGTGATACCGGTGCCGCTATAGCCAATTGGACTTCGTTGCGCCAACGTAAAATGTAGAAACCTAACAGTGCCATTATGGTAAATACACAACAGCTCTGAACAATGGGGATAAACCATGGTGAATTTATAAATTGTTTGTAGTAGGCCCATTTTTGTGTATTTTCTCGTGCCTTGGTGTTCTTCTCAGTAATGTTTCTGTTATTGTTCGACTCGTTAATACGAGTTTGAGTTTTGCCTGCTAAATTATATAACATCAATTATATATATTTATTTACTTGATACTATACTTACCGGCACTTAGCTGTTGTTCAATATTTTGAACAATATTCCTAACCACCGATTGGTTATTAACATTTTTATCCATGGTAAATTCCAGTTTATTTGATCTTACTGCTTTCTTAAACAATAGAATATAAAAGAAATTAATTTCAATACAAAATAAATTAGAAGCTTTATTATTTTATCTAGCTCAAATGATTTTTATAATATATAAATTTATGATAAAAATAATATTAAAATAAAACAGCCAATTATATCTAATTATTTTAATGTATTATATTATACCATTATTATTTCACAGTCAATTTATAACTTATCAAGACAAAGGATGTAAATTAGTATAACTAGTATAGTAAGATATAATTGACTGTAATACAGCGATAGCCAGACATTAGCCACTTAGGGGCAGTCTTAAGAGATGAATTACCATGTTCAATTTATAAAATATTTATTTTCAGCAGATTTATTTGGAGACAAGTAGAGTTAGATATGTTTATTTTTAATTTTGCTGCTGACACATTCCACCCCCCCCCCCCC